CCTTCCCACCATCTTTTTGCCCAAGTAAATTTGGAGCACAGGTGATAAAAGCCTTTTTTAGGAGTGCGCCTTCTCCTTTCGTACCTTTGTTGGTAAGATATTTTTAAATAGTGTCAAGTAATGGGCTCCTGATAGTGTAAAATAAAAAAAAAAAACAAACAAATCGAGAGGCAATCACCATCCCCTACACGCCCTATTTTTTACCATTCAATCGTCTGTCCGTTCGTCTCTTCGTTTATTTATATTCATAGGTTTGATACAGACGTTATAAGCCACTGCGGTCTTTAATTAAACTGCTTCATTCGTTGTGACGGTCAAGTGAGACGAATGTCACTGAACCGGAAGTTGTGCCTGGAGAATGTTTACTAGACAGCGGTTTTCTGTAAAAATAGATGCTCAGATCACAAAAGGCGACGTCTAAAATTAGGAAAACAGTTGAAAACTTTTGAACCGGCAGTCACAGGTCGCAATATTATCGGTATTTCTCCACAAGGAGATGGATCAGCTTATTCCAGTTATTAACAAACTTCAAGATGTGTTTAATACTGTGGGATCAGAAGCTATTCAACTTCCTCAGATTGTGGTAGTTGGTGCCCAGGTTTGTACAATTCTAGTAGAGAGATTTGTACGTGAGATCGCAGAATTCAATTTTTGATCACTTGTTCGAGAAAAATCTCTGCAGTTGATAATATTTTCTCAAAATCGTACATATACTTAATGGTTTTTTCTGTTCATTTTCGCTTTTTGATTTAACTCGTGAATAAGTTCCGTTGTTAAATTGTGTGCCGAGATTGCGAAACCTGGCGGCAAATCGAAAGCAAAGATGTTTTTATTTCATCAATATGATTGATATTACGTGAAGATAATTTTAGTGAAGGTCTTCTTTTTTTTGTCGCTACATTTCAAATTAAATTTCACGAGTTTAGACACATGTCCATTTAATTTTGGAACAAGTTTGATATGTGATACAAGTGTTAGAAAATTATTTCGGTAACTTGTTCAAAACAATCTCTTCATAGAGACAGTCTTGTACGTATTTGACTGTTTATTTGTATCAACTATGAACGGCATTGTATGCAGAGCTTATATTTGCCCGATCTTGTCTTCTAAGCCCAGACAAGCAAGCAAGCATGTAGTGAACCAAAATTCGTCGTGATTACTGCATGTTCTGAATAACATAGTAAGCTTAAAAATCAATACTGTGCAAGAATCGTTGCAATTAAGACGTCAATATCTAAAAGAGATACACTTTTAAATAACTTTTTTAGGGTGGGAGTATCTTACTGAATCAGCGCAATAATAAAAGGATTCACTAAGGGCAACCTCCACTACATGTGTTAAGTGCTGCTTTAAAAAAAAGTTGTATTTTAATACTTTGTGTGTGGAACACTTTTAAGAGTGTATCTTTGATGTTAGAGAAAGTTTTAATTAAATAACACTGTGTGTTTACCATTATGATCCTTAAATTACAGAGCAGTGGCAAAAGTTCTGTCCTTGAAAACCTGGTAGGAAGAGATTTCTTACCTAGAGGTAATATAATTTTGTTTATTGGTCTGTAAGTGAAAGTTGTTTTTATGAGCATGGTAATATAAACAATAAAGAAAACCTGGAATATCAATCTGACACCAAATTTAGTAGAAATTTGTTTGCTAGGGTAACCCTTTAACTCCCAGAAGTGATTAATATGGAACTTCTCCTTATAATCTCCATACATTATCCTGCAAACAGGTATTGAGAAAACTCAAATTTATCAGGAAGAAGTTTTTATCTTGATCAAACACCAAATTATCATAACTTATTTACAAAGAAATGTGTAGCAGCTAGAGGGGAGAATTACCAATCAGATCTTGGGAGTTAAAGGGTTAACTCAGCACTAATAGATAAGCGTGGGAAGTTGACTGAAGCACAGTGGGAGCTGATACTATATTGGACTATTGCCATGATACCCTTGTGAAAAGCAACCACTAGTGACAGCAACAATGCATTCATGAGTAAACCAATAGGAATATTCCAACATTTACTCAGAGAGAAGGGAACCAAGGAAGCAGAATGCTGAAACAATGACTGCATGTTAGAGTTAAGCAAAAAAAAAAAGGGTTTGACTTTGATAAGAGTTGTACAAATTTATTTACTACCATAAAAATCCATGAGACTATCCCTCATTGGAGGGGGGAGGGGATTGCTGGCTAGCATTGTCTTAAGCTTCACCTCACTGCACATTTATCCATTTAACCTGTTCTCTGACCATAATTTTTTGTATTCATACCATTTAAGGATCTGGTGTCGTCACTCGTAGACCATTGATTCTTCAGTTAGTTCACACTCCACCAAAGAATAAGACCACAGCTTCCAAGAAGTCAGCCAAAGAAGAGAAACCAAAAGTTGGTGAAGATGACGACGAGGACGGGGAAGCATGTAAGTATGGTTATTAATTACTAAAAAAATCTCCTTGAAACATTTTGCTTGACAAGTTTTCTGTCAGCGTTGATGGAAACATGTAGTTTTTTTTCCATCATTATCAATTTTCCTCGTCCTAAAAGAAGACTTGTCAATTCAGTAATGTTAAGATCACCAGACAAGAATACTTGTCTCGGACACTTTCAAGGGTTCAAGGGAAATGTTAGTCCAGTATGTTTTTCTTGACCTCTCAATTTGTGGGGAAAAGTAAAAGAGAGAGGAAGACAGAGGAAAGCAAGGTGGGACCTCTCAGACCTCCCTTAACTTTGCCTCCTCTCTTTTTCGCTCATCTCCTCTGACCATGAGCTTGGCATAAGCTAAGTTCCCTTTTGCAATTGTCTCTTTGCTGAGGTATTATAATCCATTTTTCTAAGGAACAACACCAATGCACTTAAAAAATTAAAGTGTTAAAAGCTCTTTTTTTATGTTGATTTTCTATCAAATCTATTTCCTTAGTTAAATAATGTTCTTTCAATTTGATGCATGACAGATTTTTCAGATGATGAAGGTGAAGAAACAGAAAAGGACAATGAAGATCCAGAGGAATGGGGGAAGTTCCTTCACCTGAAAGAAAGAGTAGGTTTGATATTCTGTTTGGACTGAAAAGTTTAAGAATAATGTCAGTGCAGTTACCAGACATGAAGGGCAAGTTATGTACACAAGGTCTGACCCAAACCACGGTTTCATGCTTCTTTCATGTCAAAGGTGTAAATTTACTTAAAATTGCCTATTGTTTCATCTCTTTAGGTTATAAGTGACTTCAGTGAAATTTGTGATGAAATAGAAAGGGAAACTGAAAGAGTGACTGGAAATAACAAGGTTTGAATGTTGTTTTGCATCCTGTTGTAGCTTCTACATACACATGTTGTGTAGATTATAATTTTCATGGCTTTACAACAATTAATGAGAGCAAAAATCTTCAAATGAAATGATCACAATTTTCAGAGCTACAAAGTCTACCTAGCCCTCTGGAGCCTTTACTGACCTTATACTTCCAATCAGCAGTCGCTATTCTCTGATGGTTACAAATGGCAACTTACTGCACTAGCATACCTGGAGAAAGATATTATTTGTTTTGTTAAGAGAACTGAGTACAAAGAAAATTACATTGTCATCTATGAGGAACTAACTAAGATTTTTTTCCTTGATCCACATTTGTTACCAAATGAGTGACCTCTATTTTTCTTTGACAACTAAGATCAAGCTTTACCATTTTTCTTTTTCTACTGACTCACTTATCTCCACTTTTATGTCCAAAAATGCATACAGTTTTAACAAAAATGGCAGATTTCATGAAATTTGGTCAAACTGAATGAATATTTGAATGGATTTGAAAATTTTAGTGAATTGTAGCCAAAATTGTCAAAGTGAAATCAGCTTGGTGGATTTGTTGATTTTGATGGATTTTAGTCAAATTCCTCAAAGTGCAATCAGCTTGGCAGATTTGATGATTTTTCACCATTTTCTTAAATGCATGCATTTCTGGACATATCTCTATTCACTGTACACATACTTTGTGGCCCTTGTAAGGCCTTAGTAGGAGTAGAATTGCTACTGCAATCGAAATCTCACTTGGGTGAATATCTTTAGGAGTCTTTAGAGATATTTGTAAACTATAATTCCCATTCGTACTGGTTCTCAAACATTTGTCTGTTGTATTATTTATTGTGATAAAATATATAATGTTATGCCTTGTGAGAACAATGAGATTTGGTTCATTTTATAGGGAATTTCAAGTGAGCCAATCAGACTGAAGATTTATTCACCAAAAGTTCTAAATTTAACATTGGTAGATCTTCCTGGAGTGACAAAAGTTAGTGCTTATTAGATTTTAGGGTCAAATATATCTATGAGGTTGTTTCCATGCTACTACTTTTTCCAAGGTCTCTAATAATAAACAAAATTTATCAATTACAATTACGAGAGATGAACAATTCTAACTATTGTAAATTCAGTGCAAAAAGCCAAAGGTAACAGCAATTAACCCTTCAGCGTGATCTTTTATTTTTTCCAATTCACTCTGACAAAGGGCTAACACTCAAAACATCAGCTTTGAAACTCTTTACAGAGGTCAATTTGTGTTATCTACTCAGTTGATAATACTAAATTACCCTGTTATACTCTCCCACTGATGCAGCACTACAGTTTCTTTAGATATTTACCCCCTTTATTTCTTTATTTTTTTGCCTGTTGGGAAGTATTAGTCCTTGAGCTACATAAGCTTGCAAGGCAGGGTCTGGAAGGGGTCTAACATGATTAGTACCAGATCCTGGACAAATCTCTTCTCAATTCCTTGAATCTTCCAGACGGCAAAGGAATGCTAATGGTGAGGGTTTGCTCACATGCTATTCAAGTCCTTGTTAGGACAGTGTGTCCCATGGGCGAGACACTTTACACTCACAGTGCCTCTCTGCACCCAGGAATGTAAATGGCTACTGTCTAACTGTCAGAGAAATCTGACAGCTTGGGTGAGGTAAAAGGGGGTGAAGGTGGATAGGTAAACCTGCAATGTAGTAGCATTCCATCCAGGTGGGAGTACCAGAACCCTATGTTACTTCATGCTGCTTATTGCAAGATAAGGTGCAACAGGATGAGCCATCTAACTCAAAAGCTGACTTAATTATGCTTCACTTATGGAAATAGAGGTGACTTCACTTTCAATATTTTTCCTACAGGTGCCTGTTGGGGATCAGCCCCTAGATATTGAGCACCAAATTCGTCATCTTATCCTGCAATACATCAGTAATCCAAACAGCATTATTCTTGCTGTCACACCTGCAAACATTGACCTTGCTACATCAGAAGCCATTAAGATTGCCCGAGAGGCTGACCCAGATGGTAAGACCACTGACCAATTATATTGGCCATTTTACAATACATTGGCTGATTGACATCATGAGTCTTGTTATGTTGCATTTTGCTACTAATGAAAGTTTGTTTGAATTGGTGGATGTTTAGTGTGTGCATTGGTGTACGATTTCATTGACTCTGATGTTTTGTCTTGAGTTTTGTTTCTACTGTTCTTATTTTTTGGTTCTTATGGTTTTTTGGTTTTTATTGTTTGCCTTAAGACCCAAAGTGTAGAACGTTGAGGGTGGGGAAGAGGCTGGAACTCCATCTCATTTTTCCTCTCAACAACCCCATTTATGTCCATTCCATGCTGTAATGTTTTATATGTATAGGCCAAAATGCATATTTAAAATGAAAATATCAACTGAATAGTTAAATTTTCACCTTATTTCTGTCAAGGAAACAGGACACTTGCGGTTTGTACCAAGCTGGACCTAATGGATCATGGAACTGATGCTTTAGATATTTTGTTTGGAAGAGGTAAAGGAAAAGATTACATTTATCATCAGATATTAAAATTTTCATCCAAGTCCCTTTTTTCGTAAAGTTTGAAAGTTTTTAGATTTTATCAATTTAATATTAATTAATATTAATAATTAATATTAATAATAAATATTAATTAATATTTATTAATATTTATAATAAATATTAATTAATATTAATAATATATTAATTACTTTTCCCTTTTCTCTCTTTCTTTCTCTTTTTTTTTCCAGTTATTCCAGTCAAGCTCGGGATAATTGGTATCATGAATCGAAGTCAGTTAGATATAAACAACAGAAAGGTATTAGAGGGGCTTATAATGATTTTCTTCCTTGTGTAATAGTTGGCTGGCTGGGTGGGGTATCCACCTGACACAGGTTTCGCTGTATTAAGGAAAACTCAATAGTTTTGAAAGGGGATACAAATATTACGAAGCTGGATTAACACACCGCTATTTGTAGGTACCTTAAGCAGTCGCGACGGCAACGCCAAAGAAAACTTCAATTAAAAAATGAATTTATATTTTTGTAGTTAGAATTTCGCGAATGGCTGAATGTGTTTACCGTCTCTTATGGCGCCACATCTCAACTTCAGCATAACGTATGTGAGCAGCGTTGATTGCTAAATGGAAACTAAATAACTTGCCGTCGGGAATTCCTCAGACCACGCTAAGAAACGTGCAAAGCTTTAAAACGTACGTGCTAAGCGATTCAGTTTTCCGGCGTCCTTCCCTTGTCGTGGTTTGCTTGAGGTTCCAAATAATTGCAATTGAAGCGTAGTGGCATGAGTAGTTTTTTCCCTTTTTTCACTTCGCATGACTTGAATTTAAGGTTACTATATTTTTAATTTTTGTGTCAGGTTGTTTGATTTTCAATTTGTGTTATTTCTCTCCGCAGACTATCAATGCTGCCCTCAAAGATGAAGCGTCATTCTTTCAAAAGAACTATCCAGCTTTAGCATCCAGAAATGGGACCCCATTCCTCGCGCGGACACTTAATAAGGTATCAAGAGGGCGCGAGATCGAAAACAAAATTACTTGTTTTTGAATATTTTGTCAGAGATTCAAGGCTCTCCAAAACGAGCGTATTCATGAACAAAACCTGAAATTATATTTCCATTGTAGCTTCTGATGCACCATATTAGAAATTGTCTTCCCGACCTGAAGTCACGTGTCAATGCAATGACATCACAATACCAGCATTTACTACAGAGTTACGGAGAACCGGTGGAAGACAAGGTATATCAAATGACTGTAAATTTATGAAAATGATATATAGGAGCTACGGTTTAAGAAGTGAATTTGGAAGCGATCTTCGCAGTAATTCGCAAAAATTCAGAGCCTAGTTGTTCAAAGGGCGAATAACGCAACCATTAACAAGACGTACTGCGCTATCCATCTGATAACGATTTATCCAGTGGATAGCGTTATCCACCGTTTGAACAACCGGGGCCAGGCCTGCACGGGCCTGCTTTTTTATTATTATCATTATTTCAGACCTTATTTTCACTACAGCTTAAGTAGTGTTCATTACTGCGAAGATTGCCTCCAAATTCACAAGGTTCATCGTATCGTAATAATGTTTGATGAAATAAAGTTCATTTGATCTGTGGATGAAAATCAAGTAAAGAAATGATCCTGGCTGGTAAGCTGCAATTTAAGCACCTGTAGGAAAGAGGACCGAAAACTATTGCGGCTTTGATGAAATCCGAACCCTCGCCTCCCAGATACTGGAGAGCTTTAGATTTGATACGGGCACGACTTCGACTACGAGTTTTTACCGGGAGTAGAGTGGCACTAGTCTTTTGTAGTCGTCAAATGAATAAGGGGGGTAAGTTTCTAAAGAAACTGTGGTGCTGCGTCGGTGGGAGAGTATAGCAGGTAATTGAGTGTTAACAACTGAGTTGAAAACGTAAATTAGCCACCGTAAAGGGTAAAAAAGCTGATGTTTCGAGCGTTAGCCCTTCGTCCAATCGTTCTGACGAAAGGCTAACGCTCGAAACGTCAGCTTTTTTACCCTTTACGGTGGCTAATTTACATTTTCAACTCAGTTGTTAACACTAAATTACCTCTCGTAGTCGTTGTCTGCCGTGACGAATTTGTAACTTGCTACACACAAGAGCGTAGCTTTTTCAGAATCAAGAGAACACTTCACAGATAGATGTCATGTCTTACTGAAAATACCTTCTTTACAATTCTCTGCCTTTTCTTTTTTGTATTCCTGAAAAAGTCTTATCTGGAAAGAGAAGAATTTTGACTCACCTTTCAACTCGTAGTGCGATTACGAGATTTCCTGAAAGACTCGTAACTAGTGACGGGAGTTTGCGTGACCTGTCACGTAGTACAGCATGCGCACCACTCCTAGCGAGGAAATCTCGCAGTCGTACTTGTACTCGTAGTCAGATCAAAAGCTCGCTGTTAGTTGGGCGATAATACCGACTGAGCTACGAATCCAGACGTTGGGAGCGAGCCACATGTGGCCCGCAGAACAGATGAAACGTAAGGCTCTTCCAGACCAATTTCCGTTGATCACTCTGGCAAAGAAGTCAGGCAACGATTAATTACTTGTTACTCTTGCCTTTGTGTTAACAGGGCCCAGTACTTCTTCAGCTCATCACAAGATTTGCCTCAGCATACTGCGCCATCATCGAGGGAACTGCTCGTGATATTGAAACAACAGAGCTGTAAGTGACATGCACAGATAAATAAATGATAAATAAAAAGGAAAAGAAATGTAGACAATCATGAAGTAAAAGTGAATAATTAGTTGAATAAGTGGAGGCTAAAACTATCTAACTTTCTTTTGATTTTATTTACCAAAACAGTTGTGGAGGAGCGAGGATATGTTACATTTTTCACGACACCTTTGGCCAAAGACTTCAAAAGATGGATGCCCTGGAAGGACTTTCCACAAAAGATATACTGACGGCCATTAGAAACGCAACGGTAAGAAATAAGACCGCAGTTTGATGAGATCACTTAGACATGAGTTTCCCTCAAATCTTAATTTTTTTTCCCGCTCACAGGGTCCTCGGCCCGCCTTGTTTGTCCCGGAGATTTCATTTGAGCTTTTGGTCAAGAGACAGATACGTCG